GTATCCATACCTAAACATACTAGATGTTGCCTATCCATCTGTATCCATACCTAAACATACTAGATGTTGGCTATCCATCTGTATCCATACCTAAACATACTAGATGTTGGCTATCCATCTGTATCCATACCTAAACATACTAGATGTTGGCTATCCATCTGTATCCATACCTAAACATACTACATGATGTTTTTAAAAACAAGTGCATGTTATATAAATGTAATGAATGTTATTAAAAGTGTGTTTACATGGTATATCATATGATGTATTTATTTTTCAGAAATGTCACTGTTATTATGGGTATACGGGGAAGATGTGTGAAAGAGTAATTGGTAATTGTTGGATGATGTACTGTTTCGTCAGAGGCTGTAGCTCTGGCTCCAGCAAGTTTTACATACAATGTTACTGTGATCCGACCTTGTATGGGACGAAAATGTTGAGTGAGTGAAATTGGTTTCTTCTTATCAACTTGAGAATTGCAGTGTATTTTATTTGAACCTAAACAGACTTGTATTTCTCGATACTGTTTTACTTGGGGAACTTGTGGGACGGTTTTATCTAATCAAATATTTACAATTGTATTTATATAGTGTTTGAATCATATTTTTGTCTCTTAGTCCAGCTGATCAATTTGATATTGTAGTAAGGTTTTATGGACAGTGAATTCTGCCAGCTCATCAGTTTGATATTGTAGTAAGGCTTTATGGACAGTGAATTCTGCCAGCTGATCAGTTTGATATTGTAGTAAGGTTTTAGAGACAGGAATTCTGCCAACTGATCAGTTTTAATATTGTAACAAGGTTTTATGGACAGTGAATCCTGCCAGCTGATCAGTTTTAATATTGTAATAAGGTTTTATGGACAACTGATCAGCTGGCAGATTCACCTACAATATCAAAATAAGGCTTTATGGACAGTGAATTTTGCCATGTAGAAAACAGGAACGAAATACTGTTTTTTACAAAAGTAATAAAAAAATTTGCATAAATTAAGTATGATTTAGGGATGGCAATGTCAAAAAATAGAGAAAAAAGATAGGGATGAATACACAAAACCATAAAAAAATCACTACATAAATAGCCAGTAAGTACTGAGTCAATCTTACAAGCTTATGGTTATCAGCCAATGTAAGACTGTATAGGATTATTTAGTTTAAATGGTTTTATTCAAACCTGAATTCGTGCAAATGACAGGAATTCAACATTTAGTTCGAGATAAAAGTTATTATTGGAAAGATTTGGCTACTTATGTAGTGAGTTTTGTGTATTCCTCTCTACTTTGTTTCTGTAATTTTTTTTTGACATTGCCATCCCTACATCATACTTAATTTTTGAATTTTTTTATTACTTGTTCCCCTCTTTTTTTAAAACAATTTCATTTAAATAACATTTTTATAATTCAGTGGTAACAATTTGTACTGCCATCTAGAGACCAGAAATGAAACTATTATTTATGCTAAGTAATATATTTCGTTTTTATTATTTCCACACACAAATATGTGTGGTAGAACATACAAACTGTAAAACACTCAATAATGGCAATTAGGTGCTTAAATAAGGCTTTAACTCTACTTTAGCAGTTATTTGTAAGCATCATAGAGTAATAGATTGAATGCGGCAGTCTTTTTATCTCGGCCTATCCCTAAATACTAAGTACTACAGTGCTTAGTGAAATCTCTGATTTAAAACATTCTATAGACACATTAGAATTAGTGTTAAACCTTCTATTTTGAACTTAATATTTTTTTCTTTACGTCAGTCTAATTACAGTTTAGAATTCATTTTCTTGTATTATTGGGACCTTGTTCTGCAATTTTTAAACAGCTTTCTTTCTTTTATACTAGCTAATTATTATTGGTACAGAGATGGTTTACACTGGAAGTTTATCCCACCCCCACGTGGATGGAAAGACATTATTCATCCAAGATTCCACTACAACAAATTATCATGTATGTATAACAGTTATGTCATGTAGAAAGATATAAACACGTATATAGTTGATTATATGTGTTTATTTTGTAATGTAATAGCTTATAATTAATCGTGAATTCAATAAAAAAAGTCCCCTGATGGGTCAATGGTAAGTATACTGACTTACAACGCTAAAATCCGGAGTTCGATTCTACACGGTAAACACATGTAACTTTGCTTTAAAACAAACAACAACAGACAACGCCAATCAAAATATAAATAACATAGCAATGTTTATCTACACACATTTCCAACTCATACGTTTCAGTATTTAACAATGTTATGATATATAATATAGAAACGTTTAATGTGACTGTACTCTCGTGCTAGCTGCCAGTGGTTTTGGTTTCAATTTGGACTTTAGAAAAAATGTGATACAGCTTGTTTTGTATGTAAAGACAAGCGACACAGCTGTTTAGTATTTTTCGCTCGTGTACTAAACAATTCGAGTTACATACACAATAACCCTAAACAATTCGAGTTACGTATACAATAACCCTAAACAATTCGAGTTACGTACGCAATAACCCTAAACAATTTGAGTTGCATACACAATAACCCTAAACAATTCGAGTTACGTACACAATAACCCTAAACAATTTGAGTTGCATACACAATAACCCTAAACAATTCGAGTTACGTACACAATAACCCTAAACAATTTGAGTTGCATACACAATAACCCTAAACAATTCGAGTTACGTACACAATAACCCTAAACAATTCGAGTTACGTACACAATAACCCTAAACAATTCGAGTTACATACACAATAACCCTAAACAATTCGAGTTACATACACAATAACCCTAAACAATTCGAGTTACGTACACAATAACCCTAAATAATTCGAGTTACGTACACAATAACCATTCTTTCATAAAAATATTCTGTAATTTTACAGCAGAAATTTTAAAAGTAAGATGTTTTCTATGAAACACTCCCACGATGTGCTTGGTCTTTGTCATGGTTGTTTATGAAACAATCCTACGATCTGCTGGTCTTTATCATGGTTGTTTATGAAACAATCCCACGATCTGCTTGGTCTTTGTCATGGTTGTCTATGAAACAATCCCACGATCTGCTTGGTCTTTGTCATGGTTGTCTATGAAACAATCCCACGATCTGCTTGGTCTTTGTCATGGTTGTTTATGAAACAATCCTACGATGTGCTGGTCTTTGTCATGGTTGTCTATGAAACAATCCCACGATCTGCTGGTCTTTATCATGGTTGTTTATGAAACAATCC